ATGCTCTTCCCTTTCAAGCCTTTCATGCATGCTCTTCCTTCTGCCTGAAGTTCTGCTTCCCACACTTCCTCCACACTCACATTAATTCTTTGATACTTAGCCTAAATTTAGTTGCTTCCTCAAAAAAATCCTCCTCACACACAAAGTCAGAACCCCTGATCATATGTCATCTCTGTACTCTTACTATTCCAGTATAGCTTTTAAAGCTATTTGTAATTATATAATTAATTTTGTCACTAATTCCTTAATATTTGTATTCTTTGGAGCCTAAAACTTTGTCTTAGTCACCAGTGGATTCTCAGTGCTTTGTGCATGGTAAATACCAAGAAGAAACCCATACACATGTCCCTTTCTAATGAAATGTATTTAGGAGATAACAACTTATGATGGAAGACCATTTTGGTCTTTTTTCCTGGCATCAATTATATTATGTTATTATTTTGTCTCTTGATCTTCATGTTTCTCAATAGAGCTATATTTGTTTTTTCCCAGGATTTATATACTTTAAATACATGTGGGTCTGCGCCTGTAGCTCAGTAGCTAGGGAGCCAGCCACATACACTAGAGCTGGCAGGTTTGAATCCAGCCCAGGCCTGCCAAACAACAATGACAACTATAACCAAAAAATAGCTGGGAGTTGTGGCGGGTGCCTGTGGTCCCAGCTACTTGGGAGGCTGAGGCAAAGAAATCACTTAAGCCCAAGAGTTTGAGTTTGCTGTGAGCTGTGACATCACAGTACTCTACTGAGGGCAACAAAATGAGACTCTGTCTCAAAAAAAAAAAAAACTTTAAATACATGAGATGTTTTATACAATGATTATTTTTAAGTTATTGAATGGTACTTAGAAAAATTAATTGAATTTTTTTCTTTTTCTTTTTGAGTGCCTAATTTGAGTGCCATTAGCCTGAGCATAAATTCTCTAGTTTGTTACCTTTTTAAATTACTCTTTTACTCTCTTTTGCATTGTACATTTTCTTTTCTTTCCTTTTTTTTTTTAAATTAAATCATAGCTGTGTACATTAATGTTATGGGGTATAATGTACTGGTTTTATATATAATTTGAAATGTTTTCATCAAACTGGTTAACATAGCCTTCACGGCATTTTCTTAGTTACTGTGTTAAGACATTTATATTCTACACCTAGTAAATTTAACATGTACCCTGCATTGTACATTTATGTCACCTATTGGTTGACAGAAGGCCCAAAATAATAAAATATAAAACATTGAAATAGCCTCTTATGATGACAGCAAATTCCATCAATTTTTTGCTTATATCTGTATAACTTGAAACCTCATTGAATGAATTATAATGGAAGTTAGGAAATATTTTATATAATAGGTCAGATGGTAAACATTTTAGGCTTTGCAGTCATATCATCTTTTCAACACTGTTCAACTTTGGCATTGTAGTAAAGAGGTAGCCATAGACAACATGCAGATAGATGCATGTGTCTGTTCTAATAAAATATTTTTATGGACACTGAAATTGAACTTTTATATAATTCTCATGTGTTAAGAAGCATTTTCTTTGATTTTTTTTCAGTCATTTAAAACATGTAAAAATTATCTCATGTACAGTATAAAAATGGTATGTGGCCCCTGGGTCATGGTTGTTAACCCTGTCTGTAACTACCTCTGTACTTACTTATCCTGTTGTGTACATGATTATAATAGATGGCAAAGGAAGATGACTCCTTTCTGGGCAGAAACAATGTGGGCCTTGTAAAGGAAAATAAATCTTAAAAGTGTTTAAGGACATTTTCAGTTTCGGTTGCCTATTTTATCTAACAGATGAAATTTTGTTTTTAAAAGATAAATGAATTCCTCCAGTATTGGACCCAAGCCTATCATTATTCTTTGAGGCCAATACTTTAAGTTTGATATGTAAATCATAAATAGAGTAGATTCTAATGGAGAAATTGGTAAGGAAAATGTATTTTTTCCAATATTGTCGAGAATCTAGTATGTTACCTTTCTTTAAATTCCTTTATCACTCAAGTTGAAGAGAAAGAAGCATGTTTATTTTCCTTTCTTCTACAAATCAGAAACATGATTTTTAAAAAATTGGAAGTGTGTAGGATTTAGTGTTGACGTAAATTAAGAACTATTGCAACCCTGATTTGTCACCACCACCACCACCTTTTTTTTTTTTTTCTCTCTCTTTGAAGTAAGGTCTTTCTGTGTTGCTCAGGCTAAAGTGTAGTGTGGCATCATCATGGCTTACCTCAAACTCCAGGGCTTAGGCAATTTTCCCACCTCCCAGCCTCCTAAGTAGCTGGGACTACAGAGGTATGCCACAACACCCAGCCAATTTTTGTATTTTTTGAAAAAAACTGGGTCTTATTTTTTCTCAGGCAGATCTCAAACCCTTGAGCTCAAGTGTTCCCTCACCTCTGCCTCCCAGAGTGCTAGGATTACAGGTGTGAGCTGTTTTATGTTTTGATAGTGGTTGCCCTTCCAGACTGATTTTATACATTTTAATTTCCACCAATAATGAATATGACCCAAGTCAGCACTTTGAAATTCCTTACATTTATTCTTAACAGTGTAGCTTAATTTCTTTATATGGATCAAAAGGCTTATAGCAATAAACTATGGCAATGATTCAGGTGATAATCTACTGTGCTAAAAAAAAATCATGTACAGAAGTGGGGGAAAAGGCATATGGCATTAGAGATGTTTTTTCAAAATTCGTGGTGTTTTTTGAATTTTCTGACTTTCCAAGTAGATAAAATAGTTCGTGAAAACTTGTGGATTGGAAAGGTAGGAGAAGCCTTTCTCATGTACTGTTTATGGTTAAGTTATACTTCATTAGCATAGACGAAATAAAGTTAGAGGTTGAACTGTAATTTATCAAGATTATCCTAAAAGAAAACTCATCTAGAACAAGATTAATGTATTGAATTGTATGTTATCATTTCTGGGCACAAGCAGAGGCTTACAGAACAGTAAAGCTGAATGGGACTGTAGACTCTATTTCTTTTCACTTGCAGTTGTAGAAACTGAGAAATACTTCCCCAGCATTTTGTTATCTTCATTCACTGGATACTTGGAAATGTAGCTTAACCGCCTGCTTTCTCATACCTTTCTTATGACTCTTTATACATAAATTATCTCTTGGACTTTGTTAAATTTAAAGAATCTGTGTAATTTTTTTATATGATTTAAGGTGTTCAGATTGAAAAATTCTCATATCTATAAAAGTTAATAGCTTTTTACTGTCTTAAACATCTCATCTTACCTGTAGATGTCACTTTAGCAACCTACTTTTAGCAATTACAACCTTACCTCCCACCCCTTCTGGTCATTAATTTCCCAGGCAATTGGAATAGTTAATATTTTTTTCCTTTCAGGTAAATGACAGTTTACATATCATTCTTGGAAAATGTGGATAATTGTTTAATAAATGCTAAATAACATGAAATGTTTCTTGTGTTCCAGATCTCTTTTCAGCCAGTAGAACTGAACAGTGTACTTTTGTTTTTTTTTTTAAGCTGTGAAGTTTTCATTTGAATTTTAGTAGTACAGTTTTTTTTCTCACTGAAACTAAGATTCAGAATAATTGTGGCATAAGTATTTGTCCCTTATTCAAAGAGAAAACCGTAACTCTTTCTTCATTTTTTATAGATGGTAATATAATTATAGTAGTCTTCATTTAGAAGTCATTATGGAATATGAGTGCTTTCATGTTCTAATGAATAGGCTTAATGGTATCACTATTCCCATTCCTATCTATTGTTCTGTGTCACCCTTATACAGTCAAACATAAATTTCACGTTACGCATTCTGAAAAGCATTGATACTTAATGCTATCTATTATCATAAACTATTGTATGTGTCCATGTCATTTTCTGTTTTTACTTTTAGTAAGACTTACTTTAAAATCCATTTTATTAACTCTCACTTTTAAGTAGTCCTGTCCACTCACATTCACCAACATCCACCCACATTTTATTTTCCCCATCCCTGCTTCCCAGAAGAAAACAAATACAGTGAAAAACAGAATTGTGCATGGAGCTGTGCTCTGATGGCACTGATAGAATTTAATGCAGGATATTATAGCTATCAAAAAATTGACATTAGATTTGACAATAGACAATTGACAATAGACATCTGAGGAGAGAAACTGCTTTGTTATGTGACTTTTGTGTAACCTTCAAATCCATAGCGAATACCTGCCTAGGACATGATGTAGAATGAGTGTTCTTGTCTCTTCTTGTATAATTTTGTTCCCTCTAAGTTGAAAAATAGCCAGAGGTTTTTCAACCTACTTAGATTTTGATGAATAGTTTTCATTCTAAGACAGTATCCTAAGTATGAAAAGGAGAGTTCTCTAATAGCTCTAAAAAGCTAGATATTTTACTCAGATTTCTGATTTTGAAAATATAATCTTTGACTTAGATCCTAAAGACATTTTATGGTGACAGTGCATTTAGATACTTTCTAATTTGCATTTCACCTGTATGATTACATGGATGACAGGGTTCACCTTTCAGTATTTTTCTTAAATCAGTAACTGGTTTTCAAACCCATCACATTTTCAGTTTCTCCTTCTTTGGACAGATGAACTACTTGTTAGATAATTTATAAGTGAAGTTTGACCAAATTCTTTCGGTCTTTGACTGGGAGGATGTTAAATCCCTCTCAGATATAACATCTGTTGTTAGGCTGAAAAGTTAGTTTGTCCTTAAGAGGAACACTGGAGAATAAATTATACTAATGACTGTTGTGCTGTCTTCTCTTACTGTGCTGAATAGTAATCATCTCTTTTCCTTCCCCCTTTCCTGCTGCCTCTATCTTCCCTGTCTTCCCTTGTACTTTTTGAATTTATTAAATTGGCCTATATGTTTTTTCCTTGCTTCTACCCCCCCCCTTTTTTTTTTTAAATTTTGTGACCTCTTTCCCTACTCTGTCTTCACTTGCTTGGGTTCCATGTTGCTAGTTTTTATGTTCGCACGCTCATTATCACCCTTTTTTGTACTTCAAATCCCAGCAGCTGCCCAGCCAGGTCCCTGAGCACAGCCCTGTGGTTTATGGGACTGTGGAGAGCGCTCATCTTGCTGCCAGCACCCCTGTCACTGCAGCTAGCGACCAGAAGCAAGGTTTGTGTATGACTGTTTTCCTCCTTTTATCTTTAGGCTCTTTAAAATTAATTACATACCCCTCAGCATTCAAGAGGAAGAGTAAGTGTAAGGATTTAGTCACCCCCTTTTAAATAGGCTTTGAGGTAAAAAAAAAATCCAAGTGTTCAAACTAAAGTGGGGATGACTGGTAAAAGTTTTTCCTAAATTTTATTAATCCTTCACTGTCATTACTTTTGTATAGGTGAAAGTTCACTTGCCTTAAACCATTTATTTCTTTTTCTTTTCTTTTTTTTGGGGGGGGCATTTTTAATGTTATTTATTCTGGCAACCACAACATTGTGGTTGCACATTTTAAGAGATTTATCTGCTCAGATACTTTAATTTTTTTATTTCTCTTAAAAGAAATTCTTTTATTTCTTTCTTTTTAAGGCATGGAGGGGGAATTAAGCAAAGCATATATTACAACATAAATTAAATTTATATATTCATCGTGTCCCTGGGTCTCTTGCTATTTTGGTAAGATAAGATGTTTCTTCTTATAAGATTGGGCTTCTGTAGCCACAGATAGAGACAGCACTGTGTTCAAATCCTGGTTAACTATTTGGTCTTTGGCTTGGCGCCTTTCGCTCAAGTGGCTAAGGCAGCAGCCACTGAGCTGGAGGTTTCGAATCCAGCCCAGGCCTGCCAAACACCAATGACAGCTGCAACCAAAAAATAGCCGGGCATTGTGGTGGGCGCCTGTGATCCCAGCTACTTGGGAGGCGGAGGCAGGAGACTCGCTTGAGTCCAGGAGTTGGAGGTTGCTGTGAGCTGTGATGCCACGGCACTCTACCCAGGACGACAGCTTGAGGCTCTGTCTCAAAAACAAAACACCAAACTATTTGGTCATTTACCCTGTGTATTTCAATTTACTCACTTACAGAATGGGATTAAGACCTACCTCACAGAGGTGTTGTAGGGAAATGCCTGGCACATCAAAAGTGCTCAATAAATTATAGTCATAAATTTTGATGCCAGAATCATGATACTAAAGTGTCTACTCCTATTGACCTTGAACAAGAAGTCCCAAATGTTTGTTAAAAAATAGACACAGTGCCTACTGCAGTATAACTAGAAAACTTTAAGGGAAATATCACGCATGAAAGTGGGATATCATCGTCTTTAAACTTGAGAGGCAATGCTCATTACACACAGGAAAGCAAGTAACTTTTCAGCATGTTTTTATAAAACGTTTCTAAGAATGAATGTAAATCATACATTGGTATCTACTTTCTTGAATTGTTCATTCCTCCAAACCCCTTATTGTTCAGAGCTATTAGTATCTGTACTTTCCAAAAATGATCCTCTAAAAAATATTTTAAAATGGCCTATGTACTTTAAGTATTTCGTGTTTAAAAGTTTTTAGCTATATTACAAGTTAGTCACAGTTAGAAACTTTCTGGAAGATGTACTTTGTTGTAGAATTTCAATCCTCATACCAAGATGATAATACAATGTCTTTAATGTAGAAAGTTTTTTCTCCTGAGTACTGAGAAACTTAGTAAACTTGAACTGAGATAAGTCTTATCTTCTGTTTATCATGTAAGATACTTTTAAGCTAAAAGATATATAGCGGTTCCTCACCTGGGATTCTTCTGAAAGTTGCACTGTGAAATATTTCTTTCAGCAATGTTAGAATTAAAAGAGGTCTCATGTGCTTTAAACTAAATTTTTTAGTATTGGAACTGTTTACCTTGAAAGATGACTCTACCCCAACGACAAAGTCGTTTTGAGTCAAAATTCATAATATTTTTAATATTAATGGAGGATAAATTTTAGGGTATTTCCTTCAAACATTACACTTTCATAAAAGTGTCATCTATTTGCTAGTTAGAATTATGCAAAATATTTCAAATATTTCCCCTGCCAAGAGGCCTTCAAATATATCCTCTGTGCAGACTTTTTTTTTTTTTTAAGTAGAGACTTTACTGCCCTCGGTAGAGTACCGTGTTGTCACACTGCTCACAGCAACCTCCAACTCCTGGGCTTAGGCGATTGTCTTGCCTTAGTCTCCCAAGTAGCTGGGACTACAGGCACCTGCCACAATGCCTGGCTATTTTTTTTGTTGTTGTTGCAGTTCGGCCAGGACTGGGTTTGAACCCACCACCCTCAGTGTATGGGGCTGGCACCCTACCCACTGAGCCACAGGCGCTGCCTGACTTTGTGTAGACTTTTCTTTATAGCTGTGCCAAGATATAGAAAAAGTTCATTATCTATCTACCCTGATGTTTCTTGGTTTCCTTTTTTTTTTTTCTTTTTTTGGCATAGTGGAAATTTGAAAAAAAAATCAGCATTTCAAACTGATGTAATAATATAGGTAAGGGTGAATTGGAAAATGTTTCAGATTATCTTGATGGAAAAAAATGTAGTACTTTAAGTGTATTTCATAGAGCTTATAAGTAATTCTTTGGGACTACTGTTGTCTTCCTTTTAATACCAACTTTTCAGTAGAAAATTAAGTAACTATTTTCTTTCTTCCCCTCCATCTCTCTCTCCTTTTCTTTTTCTCTCTCCCTCTCTCTTTCCCTCCTTCCATCCCTCTTTCTGTCTTTTTATTTTTGCTAACCAAACGATAACTGTTTTCTAATTCCACTCACAGTCTGCCAATATGTAAAATAGTTTTCAGAGTAGTTTATCTTAAAAACCAAATTTGTATATTTCAAGTAACATTAGAAAGGGCTCACCCTTATTTAGAGAATGTTTTTTTCTTTATACTTCAGAAGTTTTTAATCTTCTTCTGAACTATGGATTCTTTTTTGAAACTAAAGAGTATATAAAAATTGACTGTCTTTAAATATTTCTATATTACCCATATAAACAACAGTCTCTGCATTCTGTAGTATGATTGGTTTTACTCTCTCAATTGAAATTTTGTTACTGAGGCTTTATATTAGGTAATAGCATCTTGTATTAGTTCCCAAAGTCTCTCTCCTTCTTGATTTGTGGGCTTTTGAAATCATTCTCCAGCTTTAGTACTTTCTCCTATGTAAGACTTTGGGGCCTGTAAAATCGGCAAATAATAGTTTCTACCCTAGCAGTGGTTATGAGAATTAAAGAAGACAATATATGTATGTATGCTCTATTATCCAGTATAGGTTATCAGTTTTTTTTTTGAGACAGAGCCTCACGCTGTCCCCCTGGGTAGAGTGCCATGGCATCACGCTCACAGCAACCTCAAACTCCTGGGCTCAAGCGAGTCTCCTGCCTCAGCCTCCCAAGTAGCTGGGACTACAGGCGCCCGCCACAACGCCTGGCCATTTTTTGGTTGCAGCCATCATTGTTGTTTGGCGGGTCCAGGCTGGGGATTCGAACCCGCCACCTTAGGTGGCACAGGCGCCGAGCCAGGTTATCAGTTTTAAATATGTTTGGTTTGATTTTTTTTAGTATCGGAAATTTTGTTTACCAAAATTAATCATTGAGTCGATATACTAGATTGTTAATGTGAGAATCATTTTTCATATCCATTTCCTGGCACATAATGGCTAACTTCTAGTATTAAGCTGTTGGTTTCTCAGAGTTTTTGACATGAACAGCTAGAATGCTTATACAAAGACCCAAAGTTTCAGACAAATGTACCATCTCACATTTGTTTGGTACTTTATGAAGTCATAGGGAGTATTTCACATAGATTTGTAGAGGGAACAATTGTTGAATGAGTTAAAATTTTGCTTGATGTTGATGGTTTACAGACATAACTGAAATGTTTGCTGTTTCCTAAGCAAGCATGCATTCAGTGCCATGTGTTGAGGATATAGTATGGATAATTAAATGTAACAAGCCGTAGTTGGTGTCTTAGTATTAATGTTCTTACTTGTTGAGCTTGCTATAGAGTGTGCTGTTGTAATTCAATCATTAATAGCATGTTGCTTACTTGGGGCTCTGTTGGCAGTGCAAGATACTTAGCATTCTTGTCTCTGCATATTAAATGACAGTAGCACCTTCTCAGTCATTATGAGACTATGACAACCAAAAGACACCCCTCTGAGCCATTGATTTTGTTACCATATGAGAGTAAAAGAGCAGTTTTATGCTTTTTGTAAATATGAAACATTCATTATAGAAGCTACAGATGAGCAAAAAGAAAAAGTAGTTATCTAATTACTCAGAGCCATTATAAATAAACTGACTTTTCTGCATGCACATATGTTAGTATTAACATTTTTTTTAAAGTTACCAAACTGGGTATAGATTCTGTATACAGTTTTGTGCCCTACTTTAAAAAACAAAAAAGCTTTTATTATACCACTTTCCATATCATTAAATATTCTTTTAAAAGACTATTTTAAATATCATGTATACATGATATGCCATTATATGCCTAGGCTATGATTTCATTATTTCCCTATTGTTGAATATTGAGTTCATTTCTTTTTTTGTTATAAATAATATTTTGTTTAATATTTTGTTTAATATTATAGACATCTATCTTTGCTAACTCTTACAGGATTATTAACTCTTACATATTATTACATGATATTTTCTTAGAAAAAATTTTAAAGATGGAATTTCTACAAATTCCTGAAGATGGCCAAGAAAAGTCCTTAGAGGGATAAAAACAAATGGTCTTTATTTAGACCCTCTGTGTGGTACTTTTCAGCTTTCTATGTTAAAGCTTTAGTGAGTTAAAGGACTTTTTTTCAGGATAAGGAACTCTCAAAATACTTAATTTTTTTATTTCTAATATTTAATATCTTTTTTTCTCAAGTGTATAGAAGATTATCAGTTTTAGATTTGTTTGGTTTGTTTTTTTACTATTGGAAATTTTGTTTAGCAACATTAAACATTGAGTTGATGTACTATTATTAGATTATTAATGTGTGGATCATTTTTCATCTATTTCTAGTACGTCTAGGTTTCAGTCAATGACCATATAAGGATATTACTCTGATGTGCTTTGCAAGTGGTGTCATGTAATATAATTCACGTATTTAACACTTAGTCCAGTGAATTTGAAGTTATTTTCATTATAGATGCTTTGATAAATATTTATTTGAGTCAGATATATCTTTTTCATAGACAACATATTTATGATAAGGGCATTTCTCAAATATTTTTGTCTCTTTTCCTGGGAAGTCAGTCTGAATGATTTGACAGTGATAACCTGTTGATCTTGTTTCCACCACTACAGTAAATAGGCAAAGTCTAACTTTAGAAGCATCAGCTTCTGTGCCTGTAAATAAAAGTGAGTTTTAAGGCTAGTAAGAGTAGTTGCAGTGAATGAATTCATAGCTAAATGGTAATATTTATCATTTATGTGATTAACACAGTGTAGGTTTTTCCATAGACTTAGTAACTACAGTTTATTGTAAGACTCACTTTCACTGAAGGATAAAAATTTCTAGAGGAGAAAGTAAAGTCTCTTTCAGTTTAGATTGTGTTTTAGTAGGGATTAAAATTTTGGCATTTGATAAACATGTTCATGAGTATATGGTTTTCCAGGGGAGCTCTGTTTATCATGGTAAGGAAGTCTAGCCTGGAACTCCTTTGGGTTCATCCTTACAGGGATGAATCACATAATCAGTTTACTTGGAATTTAAAAATATGGACATTTTGTTAATTAGTGTGTTTTGTATTTTTCTGGGTCCTTTATTATGATTATCAATTTCTCTTTTCCTTCTTGATGTCATTTTCTTATTCCTATACACAAATGCCTATTTTATATATTATTCCAAACTATTTCATATATATTTTAATCTTTTTTTATTGGATTTGCATATTAACTTTGGTTTCTTCTTAAATAATGCTTTTATGTGTGAAGACACAAGATAAATATCTGTTTTTATACATTGCATCATTTCTGGTTCTGTTTACCTCTTGAGAAATTTAATTTCTTAACTGATTTTTGTGTTCAGGATTTTTTTTTTTTTGAGACACAGTCACTATGTCACCCTCTGTAGAGTTCAGTGGCATCACAGCTCACAGCAACCTCAAACTTTTGGGCTTAAGCAGTTCTTTTGCCTCAACGCCCAGGTAGCTGGGACTGCAGGCACCTGCCATAATGCTTGGCTATTTTGTTGTTGAAATTATCATTGTTGTTTTTAACAGGCCTGGGCCAGGTTTTTGAACCTGCCAGCCCCAGTGTATGTGGCCTGCACCCTAACCACTGAGCTTCCGGTGCTGAGCCTGTGTTGAAATTTATTGGTAATAAATTTCATTGATAATAAGTAACAACGTGATAGTTACTCTTAAAACAAGAGCTGTTTTAAAAAGAATACTTTTTATAAAAATTCCCTAGATATAGAAATTCAGAGAATAAAAAGCAAAAAAAGTAACATCAGTCTTTTTATAATATTTTAATTTCAAATTATTTGTCCTTGGACTGTCCCATCACTATAGTTTATCCTTGGTAGAAATATAATTCACAGGGAACAAGATCTAGTAAAAATGAAGGTTTCCTCACCTCATAGAAAAGCCCTGCTCTAAACCAAACAATGATTTAGCGTCAGTTTTGATAACCTTTTCAGTAGTATTCTTGACATAAGTATTCTCTTATTTCAAAATAGAGTTTCTGTATATTCAATATTTATAGTGTGTACTACTTGAAAAAAAATTGGCAATTTTATGGAGTACTAGAATAAGTCTTAATACCTTGGTCTCTATTCTGCTACCAGTTTTTTTGGGGATAAGAGATTAAAAGAATTGGCCCAAGACATTACATTATTGTCTCTGATCCGAGAATTGTTCTTAAAACTCTTTTTATTTTTTTCTTCCCCAGAAGAGAAGCCAAAACCAGATCCAGTGTTAAAGTCTCCTTCCCCAGTGCTTAGGCTAGTCCTTAGTGGGGAGAAGAAAGAACAAGCAGGCCAGACATCTGAGACTACTACAATAGAATCCATACCAGAGATTCCTCTACCTTTATCACCTACCACTGTTTCTTCAATTGCTCGAAGTACAATTGCTTCCCCCATTTCTGCTGCTCTAAGTAGCCAACCAATAGTCACCACTCTTATAGATGACAGATGTGAACTCTCTTCCTCAAAAGAAGATACAGTTCCTATACCCAGCCCCACATCTTGCACAGAAACATCAGACCCTTCACCAACAGATGAAATTGATGATGATATATGCAAGAAACCCTGTATCATAGCACCTAATGATATTCCACTGATTGCTAGTACTAATAACCTAATTAATGAAATGAATGGAGTTAGTGAAAAATTACCAGCCACAGAGAGCATTGTGGAAATGGTAAAACAGGAAGTGTTGCCACTGACTCTTGAATTGGAGATTCTAGAAAATCCCCCAGAAGAAATGAAAGTCGAGTGTATCTCAGCTCCCGTCACCCCTTCCACAGTTACTTCCTTTCCTCAGGCTCCTTCAACTCCTCCAGCTTCTCCTCCTCCTCCTCCTCCTCCTCCTCCAGTCATTGTTCCTGCTGGCACCACTACTGTTAGTTCTCCAAGTACTCCCACTGCAGTCCAGAGAGTATTAGAGGACGAAAGCATAAGAACTTGCCTTAGTGAAGAGGCAAAAGAGATTCAAAACAAAATAGAGGTAGAAGCAGATGGGCAAACAGAAGAGATTGTGGATTCTCAAAACTTAAATTCAAGAAAAAGCCCTGTCCCAGGTAAGCTATTCTGCCATTAATAATCTTATGCTTGCTGAACATGAAGAAGAGACAGTGTTTGAGTTATTTTTTAATTGGCTACTTTCCTTGACTTCCAGAAACATCGAATGAATGCTGAAATTCCTAGTCTGGTTTCTTCAATGGTGTGTTTGTTTTTTAGTACAGCCTGCAAAAGAGTTACTCCATTGTCTAAAAATGCAAATGAGAATGTCCAAATATACAAAATGCCTTCAAGGTATATGTCACTGTACATGTTGGGTTTTTTGTTGTTGTTCTTGTTGTTTCATTCATATAAATAAGTTTTTCAGTGGTTAATTTTGTTGGTTTGGGGCTAGAAAACAAAACCAGCACGGCCTGTAGGCCCTATCTCTGTCTTCTTGGAGTTTTAAAACCAAATCAATCAATCCTAGACTTTAAGAACTTTTCTATGTAAGACCTTTTTTAAATCTTGGATTTAGTAAAATAATTATCATAAAGTCAAAAGGTTTATAATTTAGTAAAACAGTTATCATAAAGTCAAAAGGAAAATAAAAGTGTACTAAGTGATTAATTTGCAGAGAAGTTTAGAGATCTCCCATGTTTTATGTTCTGTCTATGTATCTACTGGGACAGAATCTCATTCTGTTACCCAGCTTAGAGTGCTGAAGCACCCTGTCACACAGCAACCTCAAACTCTGGACTTAGCCCCCTGAGGAGCACAATGCCCAGCTAATTTTTCTATTTTTAGTAGAGATGAGGTCTCATTCTTGCTCAAGCTTGTCTCAAACTCCTGAACTCGAGATTCTCTTGTCTTGGTCTCCCAGAGTGCTAGGATTATTAGTGTGAACCACCATCCCTAGCCCTACTTTTTCTTTTAAAACTGTGTTTTCTGTAAGTTTTTATATTGTCATTAATATTCTGAAAGTATTATATTCTTCCCAATCAAATTGTTTCTTTTTAATGTAGCATCTTAGGAATTGATGAATAATGAAGAGTTATCTGAAGCGTATCAACTATTACAGAGTCAGTACCCCATAAGAATATTGAAGTTTGGCTTTTGACAAGTCTGCCTTCTGCAGCATTACCCTATGCTACATAATTTATACTCTGTATACCTGGCAGATTAGGTAATGCTTCCATAAATTGTACTCTTTGAAAAAATGACAGCCCAACCTTAGTATTATTATGTATTTGAGCTATATAATAAGAAGGGAAATTTGATAAGCCCAAAATCAGATCTCTAATTTTGAGATGTGACTTTCTTACCCAGTTTAGTTGGTTTTTTTTGAGACTGCGTCTTTGTCGCCTTCAGTAGAGTGTCATGGCATCACCGCTCACAGCAACCTCAAACTCTTGGGCTTAAGCAATCCTCTTGCCTCAGCCTCCTGAGTTGCTGGGACTACAGGCACAACGCCCAGCTATTTTTAGAGATGACGTCTTGCTCTTGCTCAGGTTGGTCTTGAACCTGTAAGTTCAGACAATCCACCCGCCTCAACCTCCCAGAGGGCTGGGATTATAAGCATGACCCACCGTACCCAGCCCCAGTTCAGTTATTTTTTTGAGACAGAGGCTTACTATGTTGCCCTCAGTAGCGTGCCATGGTGTCATAGCAACCTCAAACTCGCTGACTTAAGGGATTCTTTTGCTTCAACCTCATTCATCGCTGGGACTACAAGCACCTACCCAGGCGTTTTTTTTTTTTTTTTTTGTTATAGTTGTCATTGTTGTTTTAGTAGGCCTGGGCTAATTTCAAACCTGCCAGACCCGGTGTATGTAGCCAGTGCTCTAACCACTGAGCATAGGTGCTGAGCCCCCAGTTTAGTTCTTGAGACAGTTTCCTCACACGTATCTGTGAGTGGTATCTGGTCCCTCAGAAGTGGAGACATCTAGTTCAATGCAGTAAAACAAAGCAGAAAAGCAAATAGTGCAAGGTGATTGGAATAGGAAGAATCATATAAATCTTTGCCAGTTGTTTCCTCAACAGACGAGGCTCCACTGGCATCAACATTTATAGTGCCATCATTGTTTTAGGAACTATTGAGGTGTGGCTACAAGTGAATGCCCTCCAAAGAGCACCTGTTTGTTGGAGAATGGTAATTTGTTTGACCCTTCATTATTTCTTATCATTGTCCCATCTGTGAGTTGTCATTCAACAAGTGATGGTAGGTCCAAAAATAAGAGAAACTAATAAAGACAAATGTTTTGTTTTGTTTTGTTTTGTTTTTTTGAGGCAGAGCCTCAAGCTGTTCCCCTGGGTAGAGTGCCGTGGCATTACAGCTCACAGCAACCTCCAACTCCTGGGCTCAAGCGAGTCTCTTGCCTCTGCCTCCCAAGTAGCTGGGACCACAGGCGCCCGCCACAATGCCCGGCTATTTTTTGGTTGCAGCCGTCATTGTTGTTTGGTGGGTCTGGGCTGGGGATTCGAACCCGCCACCTTAGGTGTATGTGGCTGGCGCCTTAGCCGGTTGAGCTATAGGCGCTGAGCCGACAAATGTTTTAAAAACATGAATGCCAGTAACAGAAAGAAAGGATAATGCAATCATAGTAAATATACGTTAAAGATACACACTGTACCTCAGATCTGAAGTAAGTATAAAACAAGACTCTGCACCAAAAACGTAATTTCTCTCATCCCTGATTGTTCTTTTAAGGCAATTTGTTATATATTATAGATGACCTGATCTTGAGAAACAGAATTTTGAGTTAATCTTCTTATCTTGGCACATTTATTTGAAGTGTAAATATTCTTGGATTAGTAATTTAAGTCACTCGCACTTTACTCAAAGGTTATGGATTCTTCAGCATTAATCTAGAGTAGCAGTTCTCAACCTGTGGGTCGTGACCCCTTTGGCCTAAAGGCAGCAGGAAGGTTGCTAACCACTGATCTAGAGAATACCTAGAAAAGGAAGAAGTAAGGTTTTTCTTGTTTTTATTGTTACCGTTTTTTGTTTTTTGAGACTGTCTCTCTCTGTTGCCCAGGCTAGAGTGCTATGGCGTCAGCTTATCTCACAGCAACCTCAAACTCCTGGGCTAACGGGATCCCTTTGCCTCAGCCTCCTGGTAGCCGGGGTCCACCACAACATCTGGCTAGTTTTAGAGATGGGGGTCTTGATCTTGCTCAGGCTGGTCCTGAACTCCTGAGCCCAAGCAATCCTCCCACTTCAGCCTCCCAAAGTGCTAGGATTATAGGTGTGAGCCACTGTACCTGGCCAGAAGAACTGTCTTTATCATGACTGAATATGTTTTACATGTGTGTAGACACACACACAATATGTATAAATAAATGTGTTTAAAGGAACTAGTAGTTTATAATTTTCCTTTTTATATTATAATCTTTAAAATCCAACAGTAAATGAAACTCAGGAACCCCTGGAACTCTACCATCTTTTTATTTTAAAAAGCCTCAGGGACATTTCTTACCCTCTCATTTCTGTACAAATATTTGTTTAATATTTTTGCCACAAAAGTTAATGAAAATTACTACTATGTCTGGCTTTGAAATGTATTCACCAGAAACGGTTATATTCCTAACTATAGTCTTATTTGCACTTACTTGCTTACCATAGCTTATTTACCTTGAAACATTATTAATAAATTATAAGCTTTGGTTATCAGTCTTTTGATGTTGACTGTTTTAATTTGGAGATGGAGTCTCACTCTGTAGCCCCAGGCTAGAGTGTCATGGCTTTAGCCTAGCTCATAGCAACCTCAAACTCCTGGGCTCAGGTAATCCTCCCGCCTTAGCCGCCTGAGAAGCTGGGACTACAGGTGCCCACCACTGTGCCGGTTAATTTTTTCTATTTTAAGTAGAGAAGGGGGGGTCTCACTCTTGCTCAGGCTGGTCTTGAACTCCTGAGCTCAAGCCATCCTCCAGCCTCGGCCTCCCAAGAGTGCTAAGATTATAGGTGTGAGCCACTGCTTCCGCCCTGTTGTTGACGTTTGAGAAATAGCTCTTACTGTTTGTGCCTGAGTGTGAAACACATCAAAACTGCTTTCAGAAACCTGTTGCACAAATATATCTATACCCAGCAGTTGGTATAGTGATAGTTGGTAGTAAAGTTACATGTAAGAAGTATAGTCTCTTAGTTCTGCTGGAAACCATTTTCTTGCAGCTGTTCTGGATCATATTTTTTAGTGGATCAGAATGCTCCAATCTTTGATGCATAGGAGTTAAAGAACAAAAACTGTAAAATGAAACTTTTGTATATGTGTATCTCCGTTATATTCTGAAAAGCCTTAGAGATTGGCTAGACTTTTGATTACTTGTTACACATGGTCACTTCAATAATTAAATATGCAAAACTATGTATTAATGATTTATTTATTATTATTTTTTTTAGCTTTGTTGCCCTCAGTAGTGTGTCGTGGCGTCACACTTACAGCACCCTCCAGCTCTTGGGCTTAGGTGATCTTGCCTCAGCCTCCCGAGTAGCTGGGACTAAGGCGCCCACCACAACGCCCAGCTATTTTTTGTCACCTTTTGGCAGGGGCTGGGTTTAAACTCATCATCCTCGGTGTTTGGGCCCATACCCTACTCACTGAGCCACAGGCGCCGCCCTGAATGATTTCTTGAAGTCTTGAATATTATGGGTTTTGTATGTCTGGTGGGGGAAAAAAGGTTTCCAACTTACAGAAGATCACAAACTATTCCACTTTTACAAATAGTAGTTATTTGTTTTTTATTTTTTATTATCTCTGATATAAAACCATTACTCAAAATTTTTTTAGGCAGAGGTGTTGAATTTTTCTGTTTATTTTGTCTTTTGGCTCTTGTCCATAGTGTATTGCTTTGTTGTATATTTTATAACTTTTTCTTATGAACTCGTCATACACAAATAAGTTTTCCTGCGTGTAGATTAAGGGTAAGTACTTCTAGTGCAGTTTTGTGTTTACTTTATCTATCACATGTCTTGAGGAAAGCACTTGGCGGAACTAAATCTGGTTTTAATATTCTAGGCCAACATTTATATCCTAAAGCGTTGAGGATATCCATACCCTATGGATATGAATAGTAATTTTCA